GGTTAGAGTTAAGGTGAAGGTAAGCGTCAAAGGTCAGGTTAGTATATTTTTTAAAGCATTTTTTCAATTGGTATCACTGTGTTTTAGGTAGGATAAAAAGGCAAAATGTGCACCATTGTTTCTGGGCCCTAATACGGATACAGACAGCAAATCGCATAGACTTATGGGGTATTGCTGCAATCAGCAGGAGCAGGAGAATTTATTTTGGGTTGTTTCTTGGTGGTAATTTATGGTAATGCTAAGAAATATACAGCTAAAAATAAATATATATTTTTTTTTTACTATTTTGGGCCAGTTTTGTTTTTGGATAATAATAGAAAAAAAAATCAAGAGATATCCATTGCCATTTACCATCAAAAGAAAGCATAATTTGTCCTGAAACATAAGGTATAAGCCACCTGGATACACAAAGTAGTTGTGATGATATGTACAATTTTACCCACTAAAGGATATATATATATATATATATATATATATGTATGCCCTCTCCACTAGCACCTGTACCAGGGGTATTTGCTTAAAGCAGTGGACCTGTCTGAAAGGCTATAAGGTGGGCCCTATGGGGTTGTGGTGCATGCAGACACATTGCACTGAACATTGTTGTTACACAGAGTCTGAGTTGACTTACATAGTATAAAATGTGACAGTGTTGAACAGGGGATCTTTGGAGGGGCCAGGGCCCAACATTAGATGCCACTGACCCCTGAAATTTGCATCATTATTGAGCCCTGAATTCTGTATCACTACATACCTTTGAGTCATTGCTGTCTTCTGAACTCTTCATCACTTACTCCAGTCCCCTGAATTCTGCATCGCTTACAGCTGAGCCCTGACTCATTACTAACCTCTGAACTCTGCGTAATTTGATATTGACCCATGAACCCTGTGTCACTTAGTACTGACCCATGAACTTTGTGTCACTTAATACTAACTTCTGAACTCTATATCACTTACTGCTGACCATTTGCACTCTGCATCACTTATTCCTGACCCCTGAACTCTGCGTCACTTACTGCTGACCTCTAAACTCTACGTCACTTATTACTGACCATTTGAACTCTGCGTCACTTATTCCTGACCCCTGAACTCTGCATCACTTATTGCTGATCACATTTGACCATTTGAACTCTGCGTCACTTATTCCTGACCCCTGAACTCTGCACCACTTATTCTTGACCCCTAAACTCTGCGTCACTGCTGACCTCTAAACGCTGCATCACTTACTGCTGACCTCTAAACTCTGCATTACTTACTGCTGACCTCTAAACTCTGCATCACTTACTGTTACAAGATATTTTCTTTCAAATGCAATTTAAACAAGATAATCAGTGTTATTCACCTAACCTGACAGTGGTAATAAGGGTATGGTTGATCGGTTTATATATTTTTTCGAATTTGTTGCATCATAGCTACTGTTCAAAGGTTTTTTATGTTTTGCATCTCCAACATGCTTTCCCAGCTTAGAAAACAAAACCCTAGTGTCTGTGGCCTTAACTTGCAGGTCAAGCTTGTGAAAGTACACTGTAAGACTTGCTTTTGTTTCTCTATCTATGAATGTTATGTATGTAATGGCTGTTGGTAAACCTTCCAGTGCCAGCTGCAGGGGTATTTTGCGTTTCCTAAAAGCGACATTCTATTGAAGCAAAACATATATATGAAAAACAACAGCTGCTTTGTAGTGACAATCTTGCTGAAGCAAACAAATGTTTCTTTATGTATGTACAATCTGCAAGATACTATAATGTTAATGTTCTAACTTGATAAAATAAATCGGCACTTAAACATATGCCTTGATCATTTCTCTTGTGAGTGATGCTTAAATTAGAATATAAGGGTAATATTTCTTTGCACTAACGGACATTCACGTCCAAAAATAAAAAATAAAAAAGTTTGTAGTATTAAAGCTAAATTACAGGCAACTCAAAAAAAAAAAAGCCAATGAATGCAGTAATGTTTTCATTATTTTTTTTTTTTTGTGAAACTAGTGTACATACCTGATTTTGATTTGAGTTCAGCCTCTTGCAATCTACTGTTTAGCAGTACCCTGGCTGGGAGAAGATGTGGCAGCACTTGGAGCCATTTTGCTGTGCTGCATGCACATTTGCTTCAAGGAATATGCTGAAAGGAGACGAGTGCTTAGGGATGATCTAATTAGTTGCCGCTTCTTTAATAGTCAGTCACAGGCAGGGAGGTGACAAGACAATTTTTCACAACATGAGCAGAGAAAAGTCAGGTCACCAGAATATGGTGTAAGGCTGAATTCACATATTTGGGGTCAGGGGCGGACTGACAACTCATGGGGCCCCCGGGCAATAGGCGATCATGGGGCCCCTATGTCCTTGCCCACACTAAAAAAAAAAAAGCCTATAAAAGATACCAGGGGCATTTCATGGGGCCCCCTACTGACCCCTTGCCCTCGGGCAGTGCCCAAGTGCTCGAATGGTCAGTCCGCCCCTGTTCGGGGTGCGTTACTGACCCTTACTAGCATATGTAAAAGATCTTAAGTACTGCACTGTGAACTTCAACTGAATAACTCTCTCAGGTGATAATAATGGTCACTGGGACAGATTTTGTAGCCTTCCTGATCATCTGATCGCTGGAATAGTCAATTTTCTTATATCAATGATACCCAACAAAAATAAAAAAAAATCCCCTAAAGTAAATCCAACATCAATCATGATGCCCGCCGCCACCGCCGACCGAAAAAAAAAAAAGGCTCAGCTTTCGAAGCTGGCTCCTGCTGTCTGACAGCTCCACCAGCCTGAGAGTTCTTAAATATCTAAAGGCTGGGGCCACACGGTGATGCCGCCAGGGCATGCTGGGTCGGGGGCGGGGTCACTTTTTTCTTTTTCTCTTTTTGGGTTGGCGGTGGGCATAGTTATTGATGTTGAATCTACTTTGGGGGACATTTTTTTAATTTTTGTTGTTTTAATAAAGGACTTGTCAAAGACTGTCTACTGTCATTTTTTTACACTACACTTTTTTTTTTTGTGAATTTTTGTGGGGTATTGTGTACCCCATACTCATTCACATGGGGGGGGTGGCAGGATCTGGGGGCCCCCTTGTTAAGGGGGGCCTCCAGATTCTGATAAGCTGCCCGCCTGCAGACCCCCACAACCACAGGCCAGGGTTGTGGGAAAGAGGCCCTTGTCCCCCCATCAACATGCTTTGAGGGGGGGGGGGAAGCCCTCCTGCCCCAAAGCACCTCCTCATGTTGAGGGCATGCGCCCTGGTACGGTTCAGGGGGGATGGACGCTTACTAGTGCCCTCCTTTCCTGACCTGCTGGGCTGCATGTTCAAAAAAAGGGTATGGTATAGGTTTTCAGGGATTGACCCCATGCCATTTAAAAAACAATTTTGGCATAGGGGTTCCCTTCAAAATCCATACCAGACCGTTTTTTTTTTTTTTTTGATAAATTTTTAATTGCCAACAATTCTTTTTACATTCAGTTGTCAGTGGGGAACCCTGCCGACAGCTGAAACATTACCGCATGTTTTCACTACTAAAATACCACATGACTTAATAAAATAACTTTGTGCAGTATCTTACCGCATACTCGGATGTGGTAAGATACCCCTTAGTGTATTGTCCCCAAGTTCCTTTAAATATCATGACTGGGAGGTCCCCTTAAAGTTGCACATATGCACAATGTATAGAACCTGCTGCAGCAGGACTGAAATTATTTGAAAAAATTACATTTTTGACAGTAAATTATAATTTTTTAAGGCTCTTTAGGCCTGGTAAAACTTTTAAGGGGAACCCCCCCCCCTAAAATGGGGTCCACCCTAAATTCCTACCAGACCCTGATCCGAGCACAGGACTGGCAGGCCAGGAAAAAGAGGGGGGTTTAATGAGCACCCCCCCTTTTCCTTCCTTCCTGAACCGTTCCAGGCCACATGCCCTTAACATGGGGAGGAGGGTGCTTTGGGGCCTCCCCCCTCCCAAAGCACCTATGCTCATTGGGGACAAGGGCCTCTTCCCCTATCCCTGGCCTGTGGTTGTGGGGTCTGTGGGGGGTGCCTTCTTGCAATCTGGAAGCTCCCTTTACAAAGGGGCCTCCAGATCCTGGCCCCCCTTTGTGAATGAGTATGGTGTACATAGTACTGCTACTCATTAACAAAAAAAAGTGTAGAGTAAAAAATGACAATAGACAGTCTTTGAGAAGTTCTTTATTAAAAAAAAAAAAAAAAAAAAAAAAAAGGGTTCCATCGATGTCACAGTGTCCATCACCATCAGCACCAACTCACCGAAATAAAAAAGAACCCATAACCTGCAGACCTGTCTGCACCTGCCGAGCACTTGTTGCATCTGACATTTGCCTGTCAGATGTGATGTCACATCTGACATTTGCCTGTCAGATGTGATGTCACCACTAGCTCTGCCCAATTGTGCTGTGATTGGCCAAAGCATTGCTCCTGACCTGTGGTTAGGTGCATTGCTTTGGCCAATCAGAGCGCAGTACATTGTGGGGTGCGGTGGGCGAAAAGCCCACCCAGTGCCCTAAATGTTCATGTTTACAGAACACACTAACACCCGATGTTATAGCAGAATTTATGTTAGACTTGAACAGCAAGGCCATCATCCCTAGTCTCAACTCTGTAAGTGTTACATCGGCAAGACAGCTTGTTCTGTTTAAAAACAACAGACCTACTGGCAGGATCACAGGTAAAAGTAAAGGAAAAAAAAGCTTAAAAATAAATAACATAAAACCACAGCAGCCTTACATCTAAGTTTTGGTAAGCTGCAATATAATAAATGTTTGCTTTTGGGTTTATTACCGCTTTAAATCATAGCATTACCTGGACAATAACACACCTGTGAAATTATAGGACTTAGAAAAGTCATTTACATAACCAGGTTAGCAATCATCCAGCATGCAATCCTGTTTCCAGGTAATCCTTAATATTTTTACCTGGTTTTTCTTTCTCATTTTTATGGACTTTTCTATGAATTATTTTATCAGATCAGAGTTTGAATAATGTATCACATATAATTTTAGGTGGAAATGAGTCCCTTGGAAAATGCCATTGAAGTCCTGGAAAACAAGAATCAGCAGCTGCGAACTTTGATTAGTCAGTGTCAGACGCGACAGATGCAGAACATTAACCCGCTGACAATGTGTCTGAATGGAGTTATTGATGCTGCAGTTAATGGAGGAGTTTCTAGGTATCAAGAGGTAAGTTGAGTTATGCAGGAATGTACCGGTAAATGCAAATTGTTAATGTTTTTAATTTGCAAATTTAGGTAAAGGCAACAGTTTTTCATATTGCTTATTTGCTATATTATATATGCTTATTTGTTGCATTAAGTTCTACTAAATAATTAACACTCAAACTGTTATCTACTGTATACAGAGCCAACATGTAAAGTCCACAGAAAGGTGTAATTAATTTCATACAACAAACTCAATTTAAATTAATACCTTCTTTTAAAAAGGTTTAAGAGAATAAATAATATTTTTTGAGGTGAGAGAAATAGTTTGGGGTCAAAGTTTAGCTTTCTAGCCTGTATTTTTGGGTTGCTGCGCCTAGTTATCTACATTCCTTGCACAGGTAACAATAGCAAATGTAAGCTGGTGTAAAGAGTTAGACTGTTTGACATGGTACAGCTATGCAGGTTATGGTGACATGGGCTAAAAGCAGCTGAAAAGCCCTCCATGTAAGTAGTAAGAAACGTAGAACCTTACTAAAAAAAAAAAAAAAAGTATTTGCATGTCTCACTTCAATTACTGATTCCAAATATGAATCCAATTGCACAGAAGGTACAGGAGGCTAATGTTTCATGTACTTTATAGTAGTTCTATAAGTAAGTGCTAAAGGAAACCCCAGGATTTGAGAGTGAGAACTAACACCACCCCTCTCACTTCCTGTAATATCAGCAAAGTGGCAATGGGTCCTGTGACTCCCTAACACAGTCAAAGGCTATAAGATGGACTCTGGAAGCTAGTAAGAAAATAAATACTATGTTCATTTTTATATCTGTCAGGGGTGTGGACATTTTTTTTTATTAAAAACTACATGTCCATGGAACTAAATCGGGGTCCCAATCTACTTGTCCCTCATGACAATCTACTTGTCCTGATAAAAAACAAATTCTGTCCATAACGGACAATTATGGACAGTTTGGAAATCACCTGAAATTTACAAACTGTCCATAAATTTAGGGATGGTTAGCAACCCTGATAGGAGGGGAGAGGCGGAAGACAGAGAGAAGAGGCTGTGTCCCCTAAAGCACTCTGATCTGGTAGACATTTCATGCAGTGCATGCTTCATCTCCTTTACTGCTGAAGGTTATGACGTTTACTGTCCTGGGTAGAGATAAGGAAGCAGTGCAATTCAACCCAGTTGCTAGCCAAATAAATCAGACACAGATGAAAATAAATCCGGGTGCAAAGTAGACACCTCCAGCCAGTGCTTGGTAACTTACCTCCTCCTCTTCAGTCTGTAGTTTTACATCCTATGCAAATGAGCGGTCATATGCCTCTGCTCTGATCCAGCACTGAATTCTTATCGCTCCTCTCCTAAATGTGATGGTGGCTGCTGGAAGTGCACCAGCCACAAGGACGTCACGCTCAAGCCTTGGTAAATATGGGAAATTGTGACGCACAGAAGGGTTTGTGACAGAGCCCTGCACAAAATCATCTAGACTGTAACTAATGTTCATAAAAAATCTAGAAATAGTCCATCACCAGTGCCAGCCATCCTGAGTTGGCCAGCTCTGTGTCTGAAGATAAAAGGGGAGAAAAGGAAGTACCACAAAAGTGCAGTATTAAAATAACTAATTGTATTCACAAGTGGTTAAAAGTCACTCACAAGAGGCAGTAAAAAGTCTTGCTGATCATGTACAAGAAATTCTGCCTCTCATCCCTGTCCTGTAGGACCAGCTTGGTGGACTCCAATAGCTGTAGGTGGGAGTGTTTCTCGCAGGTACATCAGCACCTTTAAATGAATAGGCTGCACACGTAAACACACTTGTACATATGTAAGCCTAGACTTAAAATAAAATATAAAAATCCTGCAGAAAATGTGAAAAATGCCAGAACAGAAGCAGAGGTAGGTGGAGTGACACTTTAATAGAAGACATGTGCACCATGCACTGTTCATGTATCAGTATACATGAACAGTGCATGGTGCACTGTTCATATATCAGTATACAGGGACTCCCCGTACACTCCTAATGATGGAAGGGTCGTCATCTATACAGGATCAGATGACTGCTGTGCACACATAGCCTCAGCTTACCATATCTCTTCCTCCCCAGAGGACAGATCCTGTAGCAGTGCTGTTGGTGAGACTTTACTCGGCTCCCGAAATTCCTCTTCTGTTTCTTGAGTTCCTCCCGTAGAGCTCCGGTACAGCGGACAGACAGGTCTTGGCATTTTCTAGATTCCACAGCTTGGCTAAAACAAGAGTTAGCAACTTCAGTACTTGCCTAAAAAATACTTTGCGCACTGCTAGTGAAAATCTCTTCTTGACTCAACATACAGACAGCTTTTTCTGAAATAAAATCATGGAGGCATATCTCTTCCCTTTTCATCAGTTATGAGGCAAATGCCTTTTCATATCCCAAATGTAACTAGTCAGGGGCTGACTTATTCCTTGTGCTGAAGGAGTGAAAATATATAAAGAGTTTTTGAAGACAAGCATACAACTTTTCAATGAAGCACACAATTAACTACTCACATTAGAATGGGTTACCACTGAAAATTCTGGTGTAAGAATCTCTAAAACATTCGATTAAACAATAAACAAAATTAATGCTTCTCATATTATCATCTGCCATAAATTTGTACTACAGCAATGGATTTTTTTTTTCTTTAGATAAAAACAATACGTGTCCAGAATTGACTGGGTAAAGAACACATTTTTGAAGTGTGGTAATGCTTTTAATATACTTAAAGAATATACTTCAGAACTTTTTCCACCATTTAATGTATGAATTGTACAACTGAATTGAAAAACAAACTGAAATCTTTTAGGAGGGGGGGGGGGGGTAAATATAAAAAACTAAAATAATGTGGTTGCATAAGTGTGCACACCCTCATAAAACTGGGGATGTCGCTGTACCCCAAATAAAGTTCAGCTGTTCTAGTAGGTCTTTCCTGACATTTTCTTAGTGGCATCCTACAGCAAAAGCCATGGTCTGCAGAGAACTTCCAAAGCATCAGAGGAATCTCATTGTTAAAAGGTATCCATCAGGAGAAGGGTACAAAAAAGTTTCCAAGGCATTAGATATACCATGGAACACGGTGACGACAGTCATCAAGTGGGGAAAATATGGCTCAACAATGACATTACCAAGAACTGGACGTCTCTCTAAAATTGATGAAAAGACAAGAAGAAAACTGGTTTGGGAGGCTGCCAAGAGGCCTACAGCAACATTAAAGGAGCTGCAGGAATATCTGCCAAGTACTGGCTGTGTGGTACATGGGACAACAGTCTCCCGTATTCTTCATATGTCTGGGCTATGAGGTAGAGTAGCAAGACGGAAGCTTTTTTTCTTATGAAGAAAAACATTCAAGCCCGGCTAAATTTTGCAAAAACACATCTGAAGTTTCCCAAAAGCATGTGGGAAAATGTGTTATGGTCTGATGAAAGCAAGGTTGAACTTTGTGGCCATAATTCCAAAAGATGTAGTTGGCACAAAAACAACACTGCACATCACCAAAAGAACACCATACCCACAGTGAAGCATGCTGGTGGCAGCATCATGCTTTGGAGCTGTTTATCTTCAGCTGGAACTAGGGCCTTAGTCAAGGTAGAGGGAATTATGAACAGTTCCAAATACCAGTCAATATTGGCACAAAACCTTCAGGCTTCTGGTAGAAAGCTGAACATGAAGGGGAACTTCATCTTTCAGCATGATAACGACCCAAAGCATACATCCAAATCAAAAAAGGAATGGCTTCACAAGAAGAAGATTAAAGTTGTGGAATGGCCCAGCCAGAGCCCAGACCTGAATCCAATCGAAAATCTGTGGGGTGATTTGAAGTGGGCTGTGCCAGATTTGGAGTGTTTCTGCAAGGAAGAATACTGCTAAGTCAAGATGTGCCATGCTGATAGACGAATACCCAAAAAGACTGAGTGCTGGAATCAAATCAAAGGTGCTTCAACAAAGTACTAGTTTAAGGGTGTGCACATTTATGCAACTATATTATTTTAGTTTTTTATTTTTTACCTCCCTCCACCTAAAATATTTCAGTTTGTTGGTCAACTGAGTTGTACAGTTTATAGGTTACATTAAAGTTGGAAAAAGTTCTGAAATGATTTATCTTTGTTTCATTTATTGTACATCACAGAAACCTTACATTTTAACAGGGGTGTGTAGGCATGTTACATCCAGCGTGTGTATGTGTGTATATGTGTGTGTATGTGTATATGTATATATATATATGTGTGTGTGTGTGTGTGTGTGTGTGTGTGTGTGTGTGTGTGTGTGTATGTATGTATATAGTTTTTGAACACCCTGCAATTTTGCAAGTTCTCCCACTTAGAAATCATGGAGGGGTCTGAAATTCACATTGTGGGTGCATTCCCACTCTGAGAGACGGAATTTAAAAAAAAATTCAGGAAATCACATTGTATGATTTTTAAAGAATTTATTTGTCTTGCACTGCTGAACATAAGTATTTGAACACCTAAGAAACAGCAAGAATTCTGGCTCTCAAAGACCTGTTACTGTGCCTTTAAAAAGTTCAGCTCTACTCCACTCAATCTAACTTCGTAGCACCTGTCTGAGCTCTTTGAAGACACCTGTCCACCCCACAGTCAGTCAGACGCCAACTACTACCATGGGCAAGACCGAAGAGCTGTCAAAAGACACCAGAGACAAAATTGTGGACCTCCACAGGGCTGGAAAGGGCTACAGGGCAATTGCCAAGCAGCTTGATGAAAGTAGATCAACTGTTGGAGCAATTGTTAGAAAATGGAAGAGGCTAAAGACGACTGTCAGTCTCCCTCGGACTGGGGCTCCATGCAAGATCTTGCCTCGTGGGGTATCGCTGATAAGAAAAGTGAGGAATCAGCCCAGAACTACAAGGGAGGAGCTGGTCAATGACATGAAGAGAGCTGGGACCACAGTTTCAAAGGTCACTGTCGGTAGAACACTACGCCGTCATGGTTTCAAATCATGCATTGCACGGAAGGTTCCCCTGCTCAAGTCATCACATGTCCAGGCCCGTCTGAAGTTTGCCAATGACCATCTGGATGATCCAGAGGAGGCATGGGAGAAAGTCATGTGGTCAGATGAGACCAATGTAGAATTTTTTGGTCTAAACTTCACTCGTCGTGTTTGGAGGAAAAAGAAGGATGAGTTGTATCCCAAGAACACCATCTCTACTGTGTAGCATGGGGGTGGTAACATCATGCTTTGGGGTGCTTTTCTGCGAAGGGGACAGGACGACTGCACTGTATTAAGGAGAGGATGAATGGGGCCATTTATTGTGAGATTTTGAGCAACAACCTCCTTCCCTCAGTCAGAGCACTGAAGATGGGTCGTGGCTGGGTCTTCCAATATGACAACGACCCGAAGCACACAGCCAGGATAACCAAGGAGTGGCTTTGTAAGAAGCATATCAAGGTTCTGGAGTGGCCTAGCCAGTCTCCAGACCTAAATCCAATAGAACATCTTTGGAGGGAGCTGAAACTCTGTGTTGCTCAGCAACAGCCCCGAAACCTGACAGATCTAGAGGAGATCTGTGTGAAGGAGTGGGCCAAAATCTCTGTTGCAGTGTGTGCAAACCTGGTCAAGAACTACAGGAAACGTTTGACCTCTGTAATTGCAAACAAAGGCTTCTGTACCAAATATTAACACTGATTTTCTCAGGTGTTCAAATACTTATGTTCAGCAGTGCAAGACAAATACATTCTTTAAAAATCATACAATCTGATTTCCTGAATTTTTTTTAAATTCTGTCTCTCAGAGTGGGAATTGCACCTACAATGTGAATTTCAGACCCCTCCGTGATTTCTAAGTGGGAGTACTTGCAAAATCGCTGGGGGTTCAAATACTTCTGTTCCTCACTGTACACATCTATACATGAGTTGGAGTATGGGAGGAAACCCATGCAGGCATAGGGAGAACATGCAAACAGGCAGGTGATGCTGTGATTGGGATTCAAACCAATGACCCTAGTGCTGTCAGACGGAAGTGCTAACCATTTTGCCACTGTCCTGCCCCAGTCAAACTCCTGTGAGGTGAGAGCAGGGGCATAGCTTAGTGGCTCCATAGATACACACAGCCTGGATCTGGAGTGCACATGCATAGGTACTTTCTTAGCACCTGACTTGCTACAGAAGGCACATTAAAGGAGTGGGACGTGAACAACGCTCGCAGGAACTGCCAGAAGGGGAGGTAAGTGACAATACTATGCAGTATCGCTGCACAGAGAGGGTAAGTATCACCTCTTTCATTAAAAACAAAAAAAATTGTATCATTTTAATGTAACCTAAAATCTAGAATTAGGGACATAAAAATTGGGGATAATGTGTTTAATAAAAATTAAGGGTTCTGAGGCTTGCATCTAAATTAATTTGTTGCTTTGAATAAGTTGTATGGTTTATGATTACATCATGTCTGTTTCATTCAGGCATTCTTTGTGAAGGAGTACATCTTCAACCATCCTGAGGATGGAGATAAGATATCACGTCTGAGAGAACTAATGCTTGAACAGGTAAGCATGGAATGTCCCTCCCTTTCCCCTGCTGCAAATTTGTTGTTTGTCATTTTGACATTTAAAACTTGCTTAGTAATACAGCAGCTACAATAAAAATGAATAATGTTTGCAAACACTGTTTAGAAGCATTATTCTAAAATACAATGTAACATTGATATTTTGTATTTACTCTGTTTCTTTCATATGTATATACTGTATGATGTCAGTTAAAGCAACTTTATAAGTAAATCAAAAATGCTTTTTTTTATCAAAAGAAATTGTTCCGGTTTAATCCCTCATCAACCCTTAATTAACTGTAATTCTAATCAGTACTTATTATCCTCTTTCCCTTCAGTTTAGATATTAGTTTTCTGCTGATGTTTTCTAATATTTAACCATTGTTTTCACTGTTGACATATGCATCTGCTGGCTTATTGATCCCATTTTGATTCATGTGCAGTATGGCCCCATAGACTTCTGTTGGGGCTGGTAGAAAGATCTGTGTAAGCAACCTTACAAGTAAACAATTTTTTTTTTAATTACTAGTAGAAATTGTTCTTATTTAATCCCTTATCAACCCATAGTTAAACTCTAATCAGTCCCAGTTATATTCCCCTCCCCTTTTTCTATTTTGATATTTATATTTTATTTTCATTTATTTTCTTTAGTCACTTTTATTGTTGACTTTTCGCAACGTGGTTCTTGATTTGATGTCCACACATGCGCAGTATAGCCCATAGAAGTCTATAGGACCAAACTGTGCAGAAGTGGACATTGGATCAAGAAACCAGCTGAGGAATGTAAAAAATACCACAGGCCTTGAGGTGAGATCTAGGTAAGCATAGGATTTAATGGGGAAGGGATCCAATTTTAAATAATGCGGAAAATTTAAGATGCATGGCATATGCACAGTTTGGATTGGCAGCAATTACCCAATTTATAGCTGATAGCAAGGGATCACAAAACTTGCTTTGCACTAATGTATTGTGAGTGAAGGGGCATTGCATATATTTGAAGCAAAGATAAGTTCCTACTTTCAACCTATCTGGCTGTTATCACGGTTATCATTTATCTAAGCTGATTTACTAAGCCTTCATAGAAACTGCAGATTAAGAAAAGCAAAAAGCTTGTGTGCATTTCAAATTGTATGAAATAGATGAATGCAAACAAAAAATACATCTATTTTTATTTAACTGCATCTAAAGGCTCCTGTGTGACAGTCTAAACATGTCCCAAATCTAGGTACTATGTAATGCGTAAGCTTAACAAAAAACCTCCTTTACCTCCCCTCACTACAGATCACAGGGTGAGGATATCAAAAGCCAAGGCAGTGTTGTCAGTCCAAATTGCGCCAGTGCCATGTGTGACTAACTGATGACTGGCGAGCTACAGTCTTGTGAGTGAGCTGAGGGAATAATAAATAATGTTCCCTCTGCAATGGCTTTTCATTCAAATGTAATGCAAGAATACACCGCTTATGTGAAGGTGTCAACGCTGGTCAGAATTCAGGAACAACGCAGCATTGTTGTCACCCATCAAAGGAAACCCTAGGAGCAAGATCAGCAGATATTTTTGAGACTTAGCAGGGGGGGCTAAGGTCAAACTGTAAGCTCAGATGTGCTTACAATTAAATTCTGCAGATAAAATTTTTAATTGGAGGCCTTACTTGAATTCAGTGTATAATGCAGTCATTGCCATACACTAATAGGTTTTACTTTTCACTGGCTCTTTTAGGCACAGATTTTAGAATTTGGTTTAGCAGTTCATGAGAAATTTGTGCCCCAGGATATGAGACCTTTACACAAAAAGATGGTGGATCAGTTCTTCGTACTCAAGTCAAGTCTGGGAATACAGGTACATAGACGATTACACGTGTGCTATTTCTTAATGTGTGAAAGTGAGACACCAAATGATGGACTTGAAGTGATGCGTTAACCTAAGCAACACTGACATCTTTTGGTTATTGTGTTTAATTGCATCTTCCTTTGATTAAAATGTTCATCTGTGGAGGATCGTCTTATTCCCTTTGCTTCTGTACTGTTATTATACATTTTAGGTGAACTTGAAGTTTTTAACTTCAAATCATAATGTTCTCAGTGATGTATTTCCAGTTTTTTGTGCTAATGTCTGTTCCTTACACTATCAGGATTTCTCGGCCTGTGTGCCGCCCAGTCCTGTCAGTTTCCCCAATGGAAGCCCTTGCATACCTAGAAACTCCGCACCTGCCATTATGGGTCCAGAAGCTGTACGTGTGGTTCCTAGACGAAGGTAAACTGCATGTAGTAATCTTTTGGTGAAGAATACCTGTCATAACAAATATAAAAAGTTCCAATATATGCTGTTATAGAAAACTTTGTTCAACTGAAAATGCAGTGTTATGTGATTTTTGGTAGTAGTGTCTAACGTATACCTTGGACATTATAGGACTTGATTCTCCTGTTAACATATTTCTTGTCCCAAAATTTTTACAAAACTGAGTTTTATAGAACATTTTTTTTTTCTCTTTACATGACAGTAAGGTTAATAATATTACTCAGATTACCAAATCTTCAGTGTTACTCAAATTATTTAATGCAAAAATGAATACACCCCACAACAAAAACTGCTACATCTAGTATTTTGTATGACCTCCATGATTTGTAAAGACAGCACCAAATCTTCTAGACGTGGGATTAACATGTTGGTGATATATTGCAACTTCTGTCTTTTTCCATTCTTTAAGAATGACCTCTTTTAGAGCCTGGAAGCTTGATTGAGAGTGAAGCTCAACTTGTCTCTTCAGAATTCCCCATAGATGTTCGATTGGGTTCAGATCAGGAGACATACTTGGCCACTGAATCACTTTCACCCTGTGCTTCTTCAGAAATGCAACAGTGGCTTTAGATATGTGTTTTGTATCATTGTCATGTTGGAAATGTCCTCGATGACCAAGAGCATGTTGTGATGATAGCATCTTCTCTTTCACTATAGAGCAGTACATCTGTGAATTCATGATACCATCAATGAAATGCAGCTCCCTGACACCAAAAGCACTCATGCAGCCTCACAGAAAGGACACTGCCACCACCATGTTTCACTGTAGGCACCATGCATTTTTTTTTGTACATACAGTTTTGAAGCCATCAGTACCAAAAACAACATATTGGTCTCCGCTTTCCAGAGTCCCAGTAGACTTCTTCTTTTTCAGCATGGGCCCTGGCAAATTTTAGACAGGCTTTTTTGTGAATTGGCTTTAGAAGAGGCTTCCTTCATGGACGACACCCATGCATGCCATTCCTCTGCAGTGTACGCCATATTGTGTCACATGAAACAATCGCCCCAGTTTGGCTTTCTACTTCTTTAGCTAACTTCAGTGAACTTGCATGGTGATTTTTTTTCAACCCTACTCATCAGAAGACACTCCTGTCGAGATGTTAACTTCAGTGGACGGCCTGGATGTCTCTGTGTCTCTGTGAGATGGTTGCAGTTCCGTCTTTGTAAAATTTTTGTATCACTTTTGCTACAGTATTCTGACTGATAAGTAAAGCTTTACTGATCTACTTATAGCCTTCACCTTTCTTGTATAAAGATATTATTTTCTTTCTCAGGCCTTGTGACATTTCTTTTCCATGTGGTGTCATTGCTGACAGCATGAAATGGGAAGGGTTTTCTTTGTTAATTAATCCCCTTTTATAATTAACTGTCTGTAGGACACCTGTTTAAAGTGGAGTTCCACTCGACCTATGAAAAAATAAAAGCAGCTACAAAAACTGTAGCTGCTGACTTTTAAAAAAAAGCCACTTACCTGTCCCTCGGTCACGTGGTGAGTCCTCCGCAGCTCGTTTCATTGGCCATCCTGTATTCCAGGAGGCCGGCATCTTTAGTGTGGGCACCCGGCTGTGATAGCTTGCGCCTTCACAGCCGGGTAGCCACTGCGCATGCGAGAGCAGCGCTGCACTTCGTGAAGGGTCCTGAAGTCTTCTGAGACCTGTCACATGTCCCAAACGACTACAGGGAGGGAGGGAGGACTCCTTCCGTTTTCGATCGCCTAAGCGATTGGACCAGAAGTGGGAGCGGGTACCTGTCAAATTCGAGTACCCGCTCCCCAAAGGTGCCAATCCTTAATGGGGAGTGGGGGAGCAGTCCTTAACCACTTCCATACCGGGCATTTTACCCCCTTCCTGCCCAGGCCATTTTTCATGTTTCAGTGCTCACACCTTGAATGACAATTGCGTGGTCATACAACATTGTTCCCAAACTAAAATTTTATCATTTTCTTCACACAACTAGCGCTTTCTTTGATTTTGAAAAAAAACACATTTTTCTTTCTTTCTGTTATAAAAGTTTGAAAATAAATAATTGTTCTTTATAAATGTAGGCCAAGATGTATTCTGCTACATGTCTTTGGTGAAAATAACCCAAATTAGGATGTATTTTTTAGTTTGTAGGAAAGTTATAGAGTTCACAAACTATGGTATAGATCTGAATATTGATCAATCCTGAAGTACAGACAGCCAATCTAATTTCTTGAGGTCCAAGAATGTCAGAACAGTACAGATATCCCCCAAATGACCCCTTTTTGCAAAGTAGACAGTCTGACGTACTTCATAAGAGGCATGGCGAGTTTTTTGAAGTTGTATTTTTTTTGTCATTTTTCGGAAAATTAAAAAAAAAAAAATTATTTTCACTATTTTTTTTTTTTTTTTTTACATACTGTCACCAGTGCAGTACAGCATAATCATATAACTGGCATGGCAGTGATCAGGGACACTGACTGGTGACAGTATGAAAAAAAAAATATATATTTTTTAATTTTTTTCATTATTTTAAATTTTTTATTACTTTTTTTTTTTCTTTTTTTCAGATTTTTTTTTTCATATTTCACTATGACCAAAGTAGTACAATGTTACCATAGTAACATTGTACTACTTTGGGGAAGTGATCAGTATTTTTTTTTTTTTTTTTTTTTACACAATTTGCTTATAGCAAAGAAGTACTTTGCTATAAGCAAGCATTTACCTGAATGACATCGATTCATTCAGGGTTTTGTTTTTTTTTTGTGCTTAGCTGTGATTTGGCCACAGCTAATCACATGACATGTGCATGTCATCGCTGTGACCATTCACAGCTAGACACTAGTATACAATGGATGGCATGAATTAAGCCATCCATTGTATACAACTGTCATGTGACTTGCTGTGATTGGTCACAGCAGGTCACATGGTACCGGCAATGTCCGAGGTACACAGTCGGTGACAGATCACGCCGTTGCGCTGCTCTGCAAGAGCGCAAACTGTGCATGCCCGGGAGTACGCCATATGACGTCCACCCGGAAATCTACAGCATTTTTTCCGGCTGCCAAACGGCTATTGGCCGGGCGGCTAATGGTTAAAGCGAAACTTCCCCTTTTGGGTGGAGCTCTGCTTTAATGAATAATTAGACTCACCTGTAGTTGAATTCTTGTTGATTTGGATTTTGTTGTCTAAAATGTAGCTTTGCTCCTAAGACTTTCATTGGGGTGTATTCATTTTTGCATCATGATCTTGAATGAATTTGTTAAGAAAAATACTTTATGTGTGCAAATTAACAAATCTTGTTTACAATCAATGGTCCGCATTTGTGGGCGTATTTTGTAGTATAGTGTCCCATAGAAAATATTGATTCTTAATGGAAAGGACAGGTTTTCTGAAAGATCTGTTGGGGTGTTCTCATTTATGCTGAGCACTGTGTATGTGTGTGCGCGTGTATGTGTGTGCGCGCGTGCATGTGTGCGTATATATATATATATATATATATATATATATATATATATATTTCTTTGCAAACCTTTTAGGCAGGTGTGAAAGAATGTTGTAAATTAAGAATGACTTCATAAATAGAGGTGTTAATAGTTTATTTTTCTCAATCAATGAAATGGAAAGTAAATAAACAGAATTGAAATCCAACCAACATCAATTATTCTAGTTACACACAGTGCTTTTGCACAGTTTTTGAAGGAACCCGGCAGGTAGGTTGTTCCAAACATCTTGGAGAACTAACCACAGATCTTCTGTGGATGTAGGCTGCCTCAAATCCTTCTGTCTCTTCATGTAATCCCAGACAGTTAGTTCTCCAAGAAATGTGGAACAACCTACCTGGTAAGATCCTTCAAAAAAAAAAACTGTGTAAAAGAACTGTGTGTACTTAGAAGATTTGATGCTGATTTGAAGCCAAAAGTTAGTCAGACCAAATATTGATGTGAATTAGATAGAAAAAAAAATAATATATATATTTTTGAATGCATCCTTCCTTTCAGCATTTCTTCACCCCCTGCCTAAAACTTTTGTATGTATGTATACACTGTGTGTGTGTGTGTGTGTGTGTGTGTGTGTGTGTGTGTATATATATGTATATATATATATATATATATATATATATATATATACACACACACACGCACTGCTCAAAAAAATTAAAGGAACACTTTGAAAACACAGATCTCAGTTGGGAAAAATATTATGCTGGATATCTATACTGATATAGACTGGGTAATGTGCTAGGAATGTAAGGATGCCCCATCATTTCATGGAAATTAAAGTGATCAACCTTCAGAGGACTGAATTCAAAGACACCCCGAAAGTCAAAGTGAAGAAATTATGCTGCAGGCTAGTCCATTTTGCTGAAATTTCATTGCAGCAACTCAAAATGGTACTCAGTAGTTTGTATGGTCTCTACTTGCTTGTATGCATGCCTGACAATGTCGAGGCATGTTCCTAATGAGACGACAGATGGTGTCCTGGGATATTTCCTCCCAGATCTGGACCAGGGCTCACTGAGCTCCTGGACAGTCTGACGTGCAACCTGGTGGCATCGGATTGACCGAAACATGATATCCCAAATGTGTTCTATTGGATTTAGGTCAGGCGAGTGAGGGGGCCATTCAGTGGTATCAATTCCTTCATCCTCCAGGAACTGCCTGCATACTCTCGCCACATGAGGCTGGGCATTGTCATGCACAAGGAGGACCCCAGGACCAACTTCACCAGCGTAGGGTCTGACAGTGGGTCCAAGGATTTCATCCCGATACCTAATGGCAGTCAGGGTTCCATTGTCTAGCCTGTAGAGGTCTGTGTGTCCCTCCATGGATATACCTCCCTAGACCATCACTGACCTACCACCATAACGGTCATGCTGAACGATGTTAACGGCAGCATAACATTCTCCACGGCTTCTCCAGACCCTTTCATGTCTGTTACATGTGCTCAGGGTGAACTTGCTTTCATCTATGAAAAGCACAGGGTGCCAGTGGTGGACCTGCCAATTCTGGTGTTCAATGGCAAATGCCAATTGAGCTTTATGGTGCCGGGCAGTGAGCACAGGGCTCACTAGAGGACGTCTGGCCCTCAGGCCACCCTCATGAAGTCTGTTTCTGATTGTTTGGTCAGAGACATTCACACCAGTGGCCTGCTGGAGATCATTTTGTAGGGCCCCAAACAGTGCTCACCCTGTTCCTCCTTGCATAAAGGAGCAGATACTGGTCCTGCTGATGGGTTAAGGACATTCTACTGCCCTGTCTAGCTCTCCTAGAGTAACTGCCTGTCTCCTGGAATCTCTTCTTTTGAGACTGCTGGGAGACACAGCAAACCATCTGGCAATGGCACGTATTGATGTGCCATTCTGGAGGAGTTGGAGTGCCTTTGCAACTTCTGTAGGGTCCAGGTATCGCCTCATGCTACCAGCAGTGACACTGAACCAAGCCAAATGCAAAACTAGTGAAAAACAGTTGTGAAAAAAATGCCAGTGGCCTCCACCTGTAAAACCATTCCTGTTTTGGGGGTTATCTCATTGTTGCCCATCTAGTGCACGTGTTGTTTCATTCGCACCAAAGCAGCTGAAACTGAATAACAACTCCCTCTGCTACTTAACTGACCAGATTAATATCCCAGAAGTTTAATTGACTTGATGCTATACTCTGATTAAAAAGTGTTCCTTTAATTTTTTTGAGCAGTGCGTATGTATGTATATGTGCGTGTGTGTGTGTGTGTGTGTGTGTATATATATATATATATATATATATATATATATATATATATATATATATAGAAGTACAGTATGTACTGTATTTTCAAATTTTTTTGTATCTATTACATTCTTTAAAGGTGTCACATAAATAATCGTGTCTTCCCTGACTCCTAAATGTGACCATATGGCTTGTTAATCATACATTGCTTTGTTCAACCCTGAGCTAGTGTAGTGCAATGCCAGTGGCAGTGCCTTAGCTTCTATCTGCTTTGATCAAGAAACAGGCAACTCCTCAATGGGTCTTTTTAGTGTAGAAGTATAGAAATAAGGCACTACTTACATGTCATCAATCAGCTGTTGTATTTGAAGCATTACTGAAAGTGCTCACCATTGTTTCTACCCTTTCTTTTTCATTTATGACACAGTCCTTTAAGTTATCCAGCTGTAAATAGATACTCTTCATCCTCACTCTCATCACAAGCCTCCGCAGAAGTTAGCAATTTAACAGGACAGTCTGAAAGTTCTGATGAAGTCTTTCACATGCAGGTGGGTGATTCTTTTATAGAAGTTCTTTGAAATATCAGTGCAGCCACTTTGTTAGAATTTTGCTGGAATTAAACATTTTGCATTCTGTGTTCACAGTATGATTTTAAAGTTGTAGGTATGTAGTATGTTAGGATGAATGCCAATAAAGTATTTGTATATCAAATATAAAGTTTAAAAAGTGATACATGTTATAAATATGTTGCTTCTATCTTTATTGTTGCTGACAGGTAGTCACTGCAGGTGAACATTTGGATTCAGACAGCTCTGGATATAGCAGTTCAGTGTTTTTGTTTTTTTTTTTACCTTAGCAAGTGGGTCTGCTTTGAGCAAGCAGATCAAGCACTAAATTTGAACTTTTTACGTAGTGATAATCTACAAAAAGCGACCCTGCTGAGGATGTTATCCATTAGAATGCCATTGTTAGTCTAGTCTTTTTTTTTTTTTGTATCTATAAGACTCTCCTATAGGGCAGCCACATCTGATCAATACAGTTGCTAAACTCTAATATTAGGCCCACATTAAAGAAAATCCACTATAGTGGAAAGCTAAGCAGACAACTGATAACATTTACTGTTTCTTTACTTTCCAGCAGTGGAAAACATGTATGCCTGCCAACATTTTACAAAGCAACACTTTTGTCTGAGCCACCAATAGCAAATGCAGGACATTTCTACATGCACTGAGGGGGTCATGCAAGTGTATGTAATATAGTCAGCTAAAGTTATCTGCAAGTCTTGACTTTTCCTATAAATTTACAGGAGGCATTCTTTTCCTGCTGCTTATATTTTTGGAACTGGTTATTTCAACATTCAGGGTTTAATGAAAAGCCTAGTTTAAATATAGTTACATAGTTGTGTTGAAAAAGATACACTTGTCCATCAAGTTAAACCAAAACAAAATTAAAAGGGAAAGATACACTCTGGATGGTATAGGGCAGGGGTGTCAAACTGGTGGCCCTCCAGCTTTTGCGAAACTACAAGTCCCATCATGCCTTTTGGGAGTTATGCTTGTAACTGTCACTCTTGCAATGCCTCATGGGACTTGTAGTTTGGCAAAAGCTGGAGGGCCGCCAGTTTGACACCCGTGTTATAGAGTACTGCCCTTGCTACACAAAATCTCCGCATCACTGTCCAACCACTTCTGGTGTTGTGTCAATGACAAAGACACTCTCTTACACATAGGGGAAGATTTACTAAAACTGGTGCACACAGACTTTGGCGCAGCTGCGTATGGTAACTTTCCAACTTTTTGTGCATTCTTACTTCAGCTTGTTCAATTAAGCTTTGACAATAAAACCTAGAACTTGATTGGTTACCATATTCTGTGTGCACCGGTTTAGTAAATCTACCCCATAAACTGTCAGTAGCATCATTTTGATGGTTTTGGGCAAGACTCCAGACTTTACCCATGCCCAATTGCGGTTTCATCACTCCCCCCTTCCAAAATGCTATATAAAATTACTGACAATGCATGTGATCAATGCAGCAAGGCTTATACATACCAGTACATTTGATATGAGTATGGACTCCAAACTTTTTGAGAATGGTTCTGAAACACATTGCAGAATGGAGGGCTCTTGTACATATAATGAAGTTTAGGTTACACAAATACACCCAACCGTGGGTCTGTTGGATCCATTATAAAGCTACTGAAGAGTATAAACAGATCATGAACTCTGGACCTAGTACAGTTTGACCAAAGACCTCTCATGACAGTTATTTGGCAATATATTTATGATTAGGTCTGTGGAGCAACAAGACAGGGACCCTCCCACTCACCGGGCAAGCTGCCCTGCTAATGCCTTTACCTCCCACTTCCTCACTTTACTCTCCCTCCCCCACCTCTCCCCCTATTTTTTCCATTTCCCCCACCCTTTCTTTTTTTTTTTCTCTCTTCCTCTACCCTTTACTCCTTTCTCTTTATATACTTCTAAAAGCTTTGCGCACACTTGCGCGAGGTACCCCTCTCCCTCAGCTTCACCAGCCTTTCTTAACCTCTGTATTTCTTTTACCTTCCCCACATACAAAAACCACTGTAACCTGTCTACTGAGTCCTGGTACATTGGCAGAAAACAGTACTGTACTGCAAGAGATGTCCATCTGAAAAATGTTTGAGAAGGTGCTACTACACTTGTGTAATTAACTTATCTATACATCTTTATGCCTATATATTTATGGTCATTTTATCAGTTTTCATCATGAACCTACATTTTAGATGTATTGCTGTGGAAATCCTCTAATAAAAATGTTTTTTAACTTGCAGTTGTAAAAATGCAGGAAAGCAAAACAAAAATCCCTAGTGTGGTTGTTTATCTGCCTGTCAGGGACACCGAGTGTTGGTATCCTGTGAAACAGGTGTGACCAGTAATGTGTGGACTTGCACGGAGAACACCGGGAACAAGTATAATATATAATGATGTAATTTATTAAGAATAAATGAATAACAAAAATATAAACGCACCTCCAATATATCAGAACTGCATAAATCAACCCAGAGAATCTAATAAGTGAGTGAACAAACAATGAACAACTGCCCAAACCAAATATAGATAAATAGCATGACACGAGAAGTGTAGTCGGTGTCAGAGCCAGGGTCATACATGGGAGATCAGGCAGAAGAAGCAGGAAGCAAGCCAGGGCATGGTGAGGGTGAATGGGAGAAGGAACAAGCAGGCAGGTAAGGGAATGGCATCAAGCTACAGGACCATGATCAGGAAGCAGGAACACAGCTCAGGGCACATGGACAAACACCAAGGCAAAGAGGAGAAGCACAGGCAAGGTTTAAATAAACTTCCTGCACAGAGCATCAGGTGATGCCTAATTACCAGGTTTTAGGGTTAGGAGGTTAAGGTTAGGGGTTAATTATTTATTTATTATTACCTATTATTTATTTTATTTATGAATATTTTTATTTTTTTGTGCATTTTTTTTACATTTATTTATTTTTTCACATTTTCATTTGAGCAGAAAAACATGTAAATTGCGAGTTTCCATTCATTTCTGTGGAAATAAAAATACTTGAAAATGTGCAAATGTGCATGATTTGAGTGACAAAAAAAAAGCTTTAGAACTTGTTTGAGCTTCAGGAGGTTGGCTACAGGAGACTTGGAGTGGAGATGTGAACCATCTCCATTGAGAATAATTTTTTTTTTTTCTCCTCAAGCGTTTTGGAGCTTCGAGCTACAAAACCACTCAAGTGTGAATGAGACCTGAGGCCATCCACAGGCAATTGCATGACCTTGAAATGTATTTGTTTGAGACTAGAGCTTAAAGTGGTTGTAAAGGATGAAAGTTTCTTACCTTCATGCATCCTATGCATGAAGGTAAAAAACCTTCTGTGTGTTGCTCCCCCCGCAGCCCCCCTAATAATCCCCTGAGCCTAATCTCGATCCAGTGATGTGCACGGGAGCCTCTGGTGTGGCTCTCTCTCTTTCTCTCCTCAATCATAGCCAGTAAGCCAATGAGGAGAGAGCGGGGGCAGGGCCAAACCGCGGCTCTGTGCCTTATGAATGCATAGAGCAGGGCTCAGAAGTGAGCACACACCAGTGCCCCCATAGCTAGCTAGCAGCTTGCTATGGGGGCAGAGGTCAAAGGGAAGGAACCAGGAGCTCCGGCGGGGGACCTGAGAAGACCACTACACAGAGCAGGTAAGATACATGTTTGTTATTAAACAAAGCTTTAATATTACTTTAAAATGTTTTCCTACTCCATTTGCATTGTGTATTTCAGCCTAGTCCTTCTACCTCAAGTCTGAGTTCTACACATTCTGCCTCCCCAAATGTTACAAGTTCTGCTCCATCAAGTGCAAGAGGTATTGCACGTTTCATGTATTTTACAAAAATCTTGTTTATTCTGTGTAATTTTGTCATTATGATATATTTAAGACTATTTATACTGTATTATCATTACAATATACAAACTAACTCTATAGATTTCCTACACCAGTAAGGTTAACATTTCCTATAAGCTACTGATAACTTGCATACTAAAGCACGCATCTGAAGAATGCTTTGCACAGGTATCCGGTTAGTCTATCTACAGTGTTTTGATTACTATGTCTTCTGTTTTAGCTTCCCCACTGTTATCTGACAAACACAAGCATTCCAGAGAAAATGCCTGCCTGTCCCCAAGAGAGAGACCCTGCAGTGCCATATTTCCTATCCCTGCTGAACCACCCCAGGTAGTCAGATTTAAAGCAAAGTGGCAATGTGTGCTTTAACAGATAAAGCTTGATTGAAGTTGTTGTTTTATATAATACACTTAGTAGTTTTTTTAATATATGTATACTGAATATTTCATCAATAATTAGAAAACAATAAAAATAAGCTCTTTTATTCTCACAAAACTATTGTCTTAGCTGAAATAGAACAATGCATACATTATGAATGACTTATAACAGAGGCTGTTGCAATTTGCTTTGAGTAAAAGATCCTTACTTTTCTAATGCATCAGTATTCTGTTCTTATTAAGTAGTTAATCTTTGAAGAAATATCCACTAGCAAGGTTTTATTAATATCATCACGGTTGCCACACTTTAGATGATGTTGCCTGGTAACCTGAGTCTGAGAGCAGATAAAGCTAAGAAATGTATATATTTGAATCATTAAAATTATACATACTAGGTTTGGTACTGTACACTGATCCTCTACTCACGTCATAAAAATACATATGTCTGCTCTGCAGAAATACAAGGCCTTCAGTCTGATATCTTGTTATTTTCTTCTTTCTTTCTTCTCTCTTATTCATGCTGATATTTCTCAAGTGCATGCAAGGCTTTGTGTTTTATTATTCCATAGTGCTGGAAATAAAAACATCACAGGCTGACTTTAAGACATCAAAAAGTACTCACTGCAATAATAAAATATGCTTTCCTTATTGATCCACAGAACAAAAAACTAACATACGTTAGTGCTGTTGCTGAACATGCATGGAGATACAATATTCACTTGCATGCAATAACACTGTTCTTTATTTTTTTAGAGAGTTTTATTTAATCACATTGGAGAAAACACCTTGCCTCGGAGTGACCCAAATCTTTCTGCACCAGATAAAGGTATGTTGACATTCAGAAAAACAACTCACATATTGTCAAGTACTCAGCATGTATATCTTAGTAGAAATATTCTCAGCTTATGCTACCCCAGAGAGCTCTCTTTCATATATGTGAAATCAATAGTTTTCACGACAGTAAGACATAGGATTGTAATCTGTAACATAAAATGTGCAAGAAATGATTATGATGAATAAAATATGCAGACTGTCTCAAACATCTGAGTGTAATGTTAACCATAGGGTATGTGATCAATGTCAGATCCCCATTTTGACAACTTTGATGCTAATAGGTGACTTTAAATACCTCCAGCCAACAAACCTCAGGTGGAGAGTAGTTTATTTGTAGAATTGTGCTTTTTAAGTAATAAAAAATTGTTCCTTAAAGGTAGCATGTGCCTTAAGTGTGTATTGAATGAACAGGCATTCTATTCTAAAATAAGGGTTCATGTTTGCTTGTAGGTAGTCAAGACACTTTTATGTCCGCACATCTGTCATATGTGGCAAAATGTTTAGCCTAAAGTGGACCTGAACTCAAAAAGTGAAGATCTGCTTTGTTAAAGAGAACATTTAAAAATGTTACTTGTTACAAACTAGTATCTTGAAAATGTAATAATACCTGGAATTAGTTCTGGTAAAATAGCAGGGTATATCAGTGTGCCTAGGCACTCCTGTCATGAAGCCTTATACTTGTATACAGTATATGTATTGTGATGTCAGAGGCACTGTGACTCTGATTGCTAGTCTTAAGAGATTTGGAGTTAGATTTGGTGATGTCACTACTTTGCTTGTCACTGTTCTTCTTGCTGCATACTTTGACATGAGACACCAAAGCCCTGCCTCTACCAACATGGTTGTCCCCACACAGATCAATGTTCATATTTGTCAGCACACCACGGATCACAAATGTTGTCCAGAAGGTTATTTTTATTGAAGGATCACATCACAAAAATAAAGGTTTTGTTAAGTGATCATTCTACAATACAAATAGCCTTTGGGATGACATTGGTGATCAGTGGTGTACTGGCAAATATGAACGTTGATCTATGCTTGTTCCAGTTTCCAACTGGATGTTGCTGCAGCACTCGCTACTTTCCAGCATGATTCAGGAACATGTGCGATGGGAATATTACCATTGTCCTCACACAGACACAGTGCAGATCAAGACATGGTTAGTCAGTAATGGGGAAATGACCAACTGCAGCGAGACTATAAGCAATATTGTTAATTAGTCCTTCTTTTCTCTGTCTGCCTTTTTTTTCAGTCACAGCTTCCAGAGTTCAGTCCTTCTCGAAGTGAAAGTATGTAATAGATAGCTGGTGGAAGCTACAGTATGGAAGGGCACATCAACAAATACAATGTCATGGTTAAAGACAGCAACTTTAGCCTTCTCATATTAGAAAGTGTACATAATATTGTCACTTGGGTGCCTTCCCTCTTATAATTAGAAAAGGCCTCTGTGAGCCTTGTGAATAAGATGGATGGAAGTCATTATTTTAGTACAAAATTATCTTAATTGCTAATCATTAAAGCTTGTAATTCAAGTTCTGAATAAAGAAACTGACATAAGATAAAGAGCAGACAGTGTGTTTGGCACAGGCAATGATATTCCTTGAGGTAAATCATGTTTAATTGGACACTTTGATGCATGTGTTTTAGTTAATACTAAAATTTATTAATTGCCTGCTAAAATAACTTTGCCCTCAGTTATGAATTAAGATGAAGAGATTTACTGTTTATTAGAAAACATCATAAGTTTTATTTTCAAACGGCAAGTGTAAATTCCATGAACTGGAGTTCTTGTAGACCTTCTTATGGGGAATTACAGAGTTCTATATAAATAAGTATATCTTCGTTCTGCTCACCAGTTTCTTGTGGAAAACCAATGTTGATCAATTAAAGCATTACAATAAAATCCCAGAGATTTCAACTCAATCAAGTTTATAAGGAGAATATATCTGCTTTACTGTGCAGTGCTGATCACCATGCTGCAATAATGCAATAACGTAATTTACCTAAATGACTTGGTTTGTAATTAGTCTGATTCCTTCACTCTCAAAGGAAACCTGTACTGTGAGAAATAAGAGACTGTCATTTGGGGTTTTTATTGCTGGCAGGCATACCTGGACTGCAAGGAAAGCTTAATTGTGCAATAATTTTCTTTAGAATTAAATTGGATAAGCATAGTTACATAAAACATATAATACCCTGCCCATTGATCACTGTCCAATGCTGACTGTACAGGGGCAGATGTAGAGTGAACAGCAGCACAATTATCATCTACAGTTGCCAGCATGATTGACTAACTGTATGAATATCTGGAGACCTGTAAGTTCTTTGGTCCTGTGATAAGGGTTGGCAAATTTGCGCACACAGATCAGTATCTGGTAACTGCTTCCATTGTAAACTGCATTATTAAGCGTTTCTGATCATTTATTTACCTTAATGGGATAGTTGTGTACCCATGAACGTGTGTCATATGGTAAGTTGCCCAGTATCACTAAAGTTACAATTATCACGTATGACTACATTTCAGTATATGTCTGTTTGCAGGTATGGTAAGTGTAGACTACATACTGCAACAGAGCATAGTTCAATATTACAAAGTGATTTGCAAAGTCATCGTTTATGTAGTCATAACACGTACTGCTCTCCTGCCAAAACTTTTAGAACATTTCTTCACAATGAGATGTGAAGGGCTGCTGTCTTGTTCTGTATAGAATAACACATTCAGGTCTGACTTTCAATATCCACAGTGAAATTCAAGGTTGTTTGTGTCAATTCTGCTCCTATTTTACAGCAGTGAATACCACCCCGAGCAGTTGGAGCTTGGACAGCGGGAAAGAAGCCAAACATATGTCAGAGTGTGGAAGGCTTATAACTCCTCCTGTGCCGCCCAGGCCCACTCAGGCTGGTACGTCTGATTTGTGTAAAAGTCTTAGCATTCAGGTTTATTCAAATTCATCCCTAGCTAACTTTATGCACTGTGGTTTTATCGACTTTTGTTTAGAAGACTTAATTGAGCTGAAGCTTGCAGTGAGACATTTGTCGCCTATGACCAAATGTAATGCCTCATGCTAACATAAAGTTACAAATGCTCAGCTCTTCAGTGCATTACTTCACTGGAAATGTGTACATAGAACATTTTAGGCTAGAATTTAGGCTACTTCAAGTGTTGCACCTACTCTGGGCTAAATTTTATTTCTAAGAATTTGTCCACAACCAGCAGTGCTTAAAAGGAAAACTGCCGAGAAAATATGGAGACTATTACCTGGCTGTCATACTTTGTTATGCTTTTTTACTTTGAGGCAATGACCAGGGACAAATAGGCAGGTGAAAAGTTCTAACTTCACTCTGACTCCTGTGCTGTATGTCTGTTCCAGGTCATTAACTCAAAAGGCTTCAGGCCAAAGAATCAGCACAAGAGACAGAAAATGCTAGTATTTTCAGGAAGCCGGTAATGGTAGCCCATTTTACTCACAGAAAAGGTTTCCTTTTAAAAGAGTTATACCTAGAATAAACATCTTTTTCATGTCACCAAATTGTTGATCTTAATGGCAAGTCAGACTTTTATTGGCACATCAGAGTTTGTTCAAAGTGTTATAATGGAGTTATAGAAAAGTCTCCACAAAAGACATGCAAATCCCCATGATCCTTGCATTGTTATTGGAGGACAATATATGTGACCTGAAACTCTCTGCACCAGCGTGGTATATTAGGGAGATTATCACCTCTTCTAGTCATAGGATCTTTTTTATATCGATAGAGGAGGGCCCTCGAACCCCTCGTGTATTGTTTTGTTACTGTATTGTCTCATGTTCTGTCCCCCACTATAATGTACAGCGCTGAGCAAACCTTTCTGGTGCTATATAAATACTGTATAATAATAATAATATCCAGTATATACAGTAATACAGTATATGCCAAGACTCCATTTCCTGCGGCTGTACCAAGAATTAATTTTTTTTTCATGTCATATTATTGATTATTGGCACCACAAACTACATTTTTTTAAACTGATATAATGGAGGTCTTTGCTGTGCTATTATTTTAGGAAAGATAGGTCTCCACGGAATACTTGAAATTTATCATGATCCTTCCATTGTGATTGTAGAATAAAATGTGTTTGAC